AACAATAACAACAGAAAGGAAATATGTGTTTCATCTGTGTTGTAGCTTTATTTCACAGAAAACAACTTCATGACATCACTATGAAGTAAGATATTTCATGACAAACTAATGGATAAATGTACAAGTATGTGGTAAAGTGTGACTTCGAATGGACGAAACCAGCAAACCCTCTAAATACAAAATTAAAGTTATTCCAGGTTTTCAAAATATTTGATGATAAAATGGCTGTTGTTAGGTGCTGTCAAATCATTTCCAACTCATAGTAACCCTATGACTAACAGAAACAATTGAGAGGCTGATGTAGGACCGCACAGTGTCCCATTCTAAGCCCATTGTTGGCAGCCACTGTGTCAGTCCATCTCTTTGAGTGTCTTCCTCGTTTTTTGATGACCCTCTACTTTACCAAGCACTGTGTCCTTCTCCAGGAATTTGTCCCTCTAGATAACATGGCCAAAATGGAAGAAGAAGTCTCTCTATCCTCAGTTTTAAGGAACATTCTGGGTTTACTTTTTCCAGACAGATTTGTTTGTGCTTCTGGCAGTCCATAATATATTCAGTATTCTTTGTCAAAACCCTAATTAAAGGCATCAGTTTTTCAATTTTCCTTATTTATTATTCAGCTTTTGCTTGTATATGAGGCAATTGAAAACACCAAGGCTTGGGTCAGGAGCACTTTAGACCTCAAAGTGGCATCTCTTTAAGTCTTTAAATATGTCACTTTTAATATTTTAAATATCTCATTTGATGTCTTTACTGTTGCTTCCTTGGGCATTGGTTGTGGATCCAAGTTAAATGAAATCTTTGCCAACTTCAATCTTAATCCATTTATCATGAAGTTTATTGGTCCATTTGTGAGGATTTGTGTTTTCTTTTTGTTGAGTTGTAATCTACTGAAGGTTATATTCTATGGACACTTCAAGTTCTCTTCACTTTCAGCAAGCAAAGTTGTCTCATCTGTATATCTCAAATTGTTCATGAGCCTTTCTCTCATCCTCATGTACAGTCTTTCTCTTTCCGTAGTTCAGCTTCTTGAGTTATTTACGTATTGAATACGTCTGATGAAAGGGTCCAACCCTGATCACGCCTTTCATGATTATAACCCACACAGTGTCCCCTTGTTTTGTTTAAACAACTGCCTCTTTGTCTATGTACAACTTCTGCTGAGCACAATTAAGTATTCTATAAATCTTTTTTCCATTTTTTATTGTGAATTGATTGAAGGTTTATGGAGCAGATCATCAACCCAATAATCAACCAATTATATATTTTGTTTTATTACGATGATTGCAATCCCCGCTATATACGTTGTTGTTGTTAAGTACCGTGGAGTCGGTTCCGACTCATAGTCACCCTGCACAGGGTTTCTGAGGTTGTAAATCTTTATGGGAGCAGAAAGCCTCATCTTTCTCTAGCGGAATGGCTGGTAGTTTTGAACTGCCAACCTTGAGGTTAGCAGCCCGATTCGTAACCAGTACGCCTTCAGAGCACCTTCTATATACCAAAACACAAGTTAAAATATTGGTGGCATTTACTTTCAGCCAACATTCATCTGATATCAGCAGTGGTATCCTCTGTTCCAAGTCCTCTTCGGAATCCGGCTTGAATTTCTGGAAGTTCCCTGTTGAAATACTGCTAGAAACTTTTTAATATTTACTGGCTTTAAGAATTCATTTTTAAAAATGTATTTATGTGTTCTGTTTATGTTATCAAAATCTGAAATTTATTTTTATTGTAGTTTAATTATAGTGAATGTAAAACATGCCCAAATGTTAATGTCTTTCTTATCTTTTGGATTCTAGTATGGGACGAACCAGAGAAAATCAATGTCAAGAATTTTTCAAGTATGAAAAGATTGAAAATAAAAGCTTGTGTAGAATTTGCGACACAGATATGATTGGCGACCATGCAGCAAATCTAGAGAAGCAGCTGAAACGTCCCCACACAGATGAGGCCAACGTGGTGCAAAGCAAGAAGACAAAGAAGGCTGAAGAAAGCGCCAGAAGTGTTCCACATTAGACGCGTTTGCCTTAAGGTGAAATTAGATACATAGTTGACCCTTGAACAGTGCGGGTTTGAACTCCGTGGATCTACTTATATGCGGATTTTTTTTCAATAAATATATTGGAAAATATTTACAACAATTTGAAAAAACTTGCAAACAAACCATATAGCCTAGAAATAAAAAATTTTATGAAAACGTTAGGTATGTGATGAATGCGTAAAGTATATATAGATGTCAGTCTATTATATCATTTGTATTTTATGATTTGCTACCATAAAATATACACAAATTATTATATAAAGTTAAAATCGATGACAACGTATGCATACACACACAGATCAGATCGTACATGGCACCAATTGCGGTTGAGAGAAATGTAAACATATGTAAAGAGGCAGTATTCAATCTTAACAAAATAAAATGAACTGTAATGCATTCTGTGTTACTATCATCATTTCGTGACCACCTCCTGTTGCTCTTGTGATGAGTGGAAGTGTTGGAGGAGATGCCGGATTCAGCTGCTATGCCATCCTAATTGTGTCTGCCTGAGCAGTTTGTCTCTCCAGTAAATTCAGTATCACAGTAAAAAAATTTACCATCAATCGTGAAAAACACCATGGGACCTGTACCAAGTGCTACTAGGGGTGTGAGAAGTGCTCCCAAGAAGCAGAGGAAGGTTATGACATTACAAGAGAAAGTTGAATTGCTGGATATGTACCGTCGGCTGAGGTCTGCAGCTGCAGTTGCCCGTCATTTCAAGATAAATGAATCCAGCGTGAGGACTATTGTAAAAAAAGAAAAGGAAATTCGTGAAGTAGTTGCTGCATCTACACCAGCAGGGGCAAAAACATTGCACTTTTTGCGAAATACCTTTTTGTCTCGTATTGAAAATTCAGCTTTCGTGTGGGTACAGGACTGCTATAAGAAAGGAATGCCTATAGACTCTAATATGATTCGAGAAAAAGCAAAGTCATTGTACGACAAGTTAAAGCAAAAGGAAGGTGAAGGATCAAAAGCTGGAGAATTTAATGCCAGCAAAGGATGGTTTGATAATTTTAGAAAGCGGTTTGGCTTAAAAAATGTCAAGATAACAGAAGAAGCAGCTTCTGCTGACGACGAAACAGCAGACAAGTTCCCAGACTCCATGAAGAAAATCCCTGAGGAGAGAGGATATCTGCCTGAGCAGGTTTTCAATGCAAGCAAAAGTCCCCTATTCTGGGGGGAAAATGCCACAAAGGACATTTGTTAGTAAGGAAGAGACATGAACACCGGGATTTAAGGCAGGGTGGGATAAAGTAACATTCAGGTTTCTGATCAGGACTGCCTGAACCTGGAAGGGAAAGAGAAACACTTCAAGAATATTATATATATAATATACAAAATAGATCTTGATTAACTTTATGTAGTAAGGTTTCTGCCACTAGCAGGCTATTAAGATTGGGGGTGGGGGTCAGTTCCCCTAACCCCCTGCCCCACATTGTTCAAGGGTCAACTGTACAAACAATTGTCAGTGTGTGTGGAATTACTGTTGACTATTGTTCATTTGAGTTAATTGAATCGTCAGGATTCTATAAAACTTTAAATCCAGTTATTGATGAACATTTTTTATTCAGCTCAGAGAAATTAGGAAAATGATATCTCACTTGACTTTAAATTTAGCTCTAGAATTGGTTGGTGGTGCTTGTGTGCCATGGAGTTGGTTCTGACTCAACAACGCGGTACAGGGTTTTTGAGGCTATAAATCTTTATGGGAGTAGAAAGCCTCATCATTCTCCCACAGAACGGCTGGTAGATTCGAACTGCTGACCTGTGGTTAGCAACCCAGCTTGTAATCCACTATGCTACCAGGGTCCTCCACAATTCCTGGTGTTCTAGAAGAGTGACTGTCCTCTTTGAAAGCTGGCTGTTCCCGTTAGTCTGAATCAGTTCTAGGAATGAAAGCTCTGTTTGCCCGAGGCAGTAATGTGTATCTGTTGACACTGAAAATGAAAGAATTAGATATACAGGTCTGTACATAAAAAACCAAGGTTAGAGAATTACAACATAGATTTAGTCCGTAACTGTGGATATGCGTCTAATACGACTTTTTTTATTTGCTCAAATTAGTGGAATCGAATGGCAAATGTCAGGGGGCAATGGCAATACTGACAATTGTGACTTGGTGCAACCTGACTGCGTTACCTAACCCAGGCCACTCTTCCCCTACAGAATGCCATTCTCTGTACCCAGCCCAATGGCTTCTCCTCTTGGCAAGCATCTCCCACCTTTCATTTTTGAATCCCATAAGGGACAGACCCCAGAAGTTGCAGGCTGAGGGTCAGTTCCTGTTTGACTTAACCTCCTCCAGTCTAATGTAAGTGGGAGGGAAGTCCTTTTCATAGTTTAAAAACGGAACCATCTTCCCTTTTAGAACAGACCTGAGGAATGTGAATCCAGGTGGGTGTGTTTACGTTCAAATCCACTCCAGGGTCAGGAAACACTTGGATTTGGTTTTGTTTGGTTTTGCTTTTCACATGCACTAACCATGTAAGTCATCTCCTCAAGAGTTCACACCAGCCCCATTCTTGCACCTGGTCCAGTAGCCCCTGGTGCATCATTTGGATCTTAGAGGTCATAAGGAAAGCACTTGTCCAAGATCACACTGGCCCCGATGTCCCTGGAGTATGGCCCCACTGTCTTTCCATTTGTCCTGGTGTCCTGTCTCCTCAGCCAAACTCTGATAACTCCCTTTACCCACCTCCCCACCATCTCCAACCATTACCTGCCCTTTCATCTAATAACGTGTTGCAATTTCCTGGATGCAGGAAAAATTTTCCCAAGGATTCTGCCTCCTCTCACATCGTATCATTGGTCAATTCCTGTTACCCTTCCTCCCTGAAGCCTCCTTGTCCACCCTTCACCCAAGGCCCTGTATCTGCCTCATACTACCTCTTCAGCCAGGCCTATCTGTGTCCATGCCCAGGTGAGGTTCCTGACTGCAACCTGGACTCTTCCTCAGGTGTCTGCTGGCAGCTCCAAGACGACTTCCCATGCAAGGATGCCCTCCCCACTGGACCCCACAGCCACCCTGGAGGAACTCGAAGCTGCACGGCTGAGTTTCCGCAGCTTCCGCTACCAGGAGGCAGCAGGGCCCCTTGAGGCTCTGGTCCGGCTGCGTCACCTCTGTCACCAGTGGCTGCGGCCCGAGGTGCATTCCAAGGAGCAGATGTTGGAGCTACTGGTGCTGGAGCAGTTCCTGGGGGCGCTGCCCCCCGAGATCCAGGCCTGGGTGCGGGAACAGCAACCGGGCAGCCCTGAGGATGCTGTGGCCCTGGTTGAAGGGCTGCAGAATGACCCTGGGCGGCTGCTGAGCTGGGTGAGTGTGGCCGCTGTTGGTCTAGCCCTTCGGAGGCTTTTGGAAGGATCGAGGCAAGGCCAGAACCCCAAATCTTACCTCTTCCTCTTCAGATTACGGCCCATGTCCTGGGGCGGGAGGTGCTTCCAGCAGCCCAGAAGACCGAGGGGGCCTCAAGGATCCCCCTCCCCTCAG